TTTCGATGACCCTAGCTGCGTGCCACCGTCAATGCCGTACTTCGTCGTCTTTGGGGTTGGGTGAAAGCAGAAAGCAACAGATCCCAGTCTCAATGTACAGTTTTGATAAGAAATTTGTGCTAAACCCTTTAATGAAATTGGTTTGCTCTATTGGCTTTCTATTCGTTTTCTGCGATATGATTTCCGTGTAATCATAATTTTGGCCCACCCTGTATTTTAAATCATTTCAAACACATTAAAATCATAGCATTGCAACGAAAATATCGTCAGAAATCATGTCATATCAAAAACTAACTTTATCATATGATCATTACTGCAGGAAAGTACGTGCGAATTGTCTTTGCTGAACCTAACAGCGTTGATTGCGGCAGTGTGAGCCTTCTCGAAACGCCGAAGGCAATCTCCAGTCTGTATCCGCCACACCTAAAAGAACCATATTGCTGGAAAAATGGCCTCGATATTCTCACAAACATAAATACATATTCAATGAAACAACCTTGATTTTCCCATCTATACTGCCAGAAACAATCATTTCCGAATCGCGAGAGAACGAAAGTGCCGTGACGCCATCATCCATCATCATGAGGTTATCTTGAGCCTGAAGTGACTCTCCTCCAAAAAGGGAAAGTTCGGGTGAAAAACGTCAATGAAAACGCACCTGATACTTAAGATCTTTACGAAGTTTCCCATTCATGAAGTTCCACACTTCAATGAACCCATCTTTAGAGCCTGATACTAAGAACTGCCCATCGGGTGAAAATACTGTAGATAATGGGTAGCTGGCTGAAACAGGATAGCTACGTATACAATAGGAAGCTTAGTTTGGCACCGAGACAGTTCCCACAAGCAAAAAACAATTCGTGCTCGAAACCTCACTTGCTCCAAATTTGATGTGCCTTGCCAACTGAGTGGGATACCTTTCATCTTCCTGCTCCCTCATCGCAGCCTTACCACGGAACAAGTCGATTTGAGTACCTGGAAAATCATGAACAAGGGACTGTGCGAACAAAGAGCGAAAGCAGAATAAAAAGAAATGTCTTACCTGGTGGCAAAAGGCCTTGATGAAGCTGCCATTTAAGCGATTGCTGCAGCAAAGCAAGAAGACGTGAAGGTGGCACAACATTTACCTCACTGGCTAAGGACTAAAATCGATAAAATAAACTATGATTTATCTGCGACGTTCCATTGGTTTCCACGACAATACCACTATAACAGAAAACACAAATCCTTCCGTAAAAACTAGGAGGTTACAGCAATTCAAATGTGCCCATCAACTTAGGTCAGGTGATCGCTTTTTTCTGTTAACGTACAGAACTGCTCCCTTCCCTCTTCCTATGCACTAACCGAAATTGGACTTTATTTAAACCGATTTCACTACACCTCCCTGAACATTCTTTCAAATAACTACGTTTGACAGCCGCAGGGCACAGGGTGGGAGAATAATAACCACGTTCAGCTAAGGCTAGTGCAAACGTTATCAGTTTGCGGGCAACAAGAAGATTATAGAAGTGCCGGCTGTAAATCTTCATTTTGCCTTCGTATTACGGGAAGAGTGATTCATTCTTCCGAGCAGTCGTCAAAAGTCAGAGCCAAAAAGAGTCGTTCGGGGGTATCATTTACATGGATGATAATCTCAGTATTTTGTATGGTGGAGATATCCTGATTACTTCCAAGAAGTGCACTGTAAATCAAAAAACACAGAACTTAATTACTTGAAATGTATCACTGCGAGAAAGAAAAATTTAAAACATGAAATTCGTCAAATTCGCTCACGTTAGCGATGGCTTGGCGACGCTTCTCTTTACTGACATCACCAAATACCTCTCCCGGGTCGAAATACGGACGGTTAATCAAGTTGTCCAATCTCGCATACCTAGAAGGAATATATTAGTTGTAACATATTGCTGGGCTAAAAAAGAGTTTTTCAGGAGAACACCTTTCAGGATCCATCTGCTTCAGCAGATGCATTGGATCCGTTTGTCGAGCAATAAGACGAGCAGTTGCCAACTCCCGAAGCTCTACCAATTCAATAACCATCTGAAACAAGTAACCAATTTGAAAAGTGGTACGGAAACCAAATCATACAATGGAGCTGCATTGGACTTGAAATTTTGAGAGTTTCGTAACTGGTCTCTCTTTAAGTCGGACGTGAAAAAAAGCCGAACATCCAATAATGGTACATACCAATTCATACAGGTCGATCAGTTTTTTTGCTGGAAGTTTCAGAGGTTGGATGATTTTCAAGACAGTGTCCCAGTGCCCATTAGTGATTTCATGTGAAAACGAATCAATACTATCAACTGTATTCAGGGTGATATTTGTCTCTTCCTGAAAAAATTCAAATATGAAGTCCTCAAAACGGAAATCTAGAGCAGAAATCTGAGAAAACTGCTGTGAATACCTGTAACACAGCAAGAGTGCGCATGAGATTGTTCTCCTTGAGATATTGCTCGATGAGGCGAACAACACTGAAAAAAAGCTATCTATTGGCAATGCATGAAAAACAACGGCTAATTACACCGGGCCAGAAGAAGTTCTTATTTAAATCAAAATCACTCATGTACATCTCAGCAATCAATTATTAGGATATACACGAAGCTAGATCCAAAGAATAAGTTCTAAAGAAACACTGATGCACTACTGCAGGAACTTCGGCTGAGTATTCGGTTTCACTGTTCCATAACAACCGGTACTTAACGCGCCATTGAACTCGCGTTCTTTATTTGGAGTGCCATTCGAAGTACCCCACAGCAACCAGCAGAAATTAGATTACCCACTCGATACCTTCACGGAAATGCATGGTACTCAAGAATTACCGTAACAAGACTTGAACCTTTTTTCTGACCAAAGAAAATTTTAGGCATGTCTGGAACCATCATGCCAGTAACACACCATGTCCAAACCATACAATTTTTTGAAAAAAAAGGGCACAAAATAAAAACCTGCATTAATTTCTGTAACATTCTGGAAAACTTACTCGGCAGCTTCAATCTCAATTGACGTCATGTTCGGTGAACTAACACAGTGTCCACTACAAAATTTAAATAACAAAGCACACCACTGATTTCACCTCACGACTCAGCTTGCACAAATAAAATGTGCCGTAAAACACAAGGAATAAAGTGAACAACAAGCAAATTGAGAACACTTTATTCACCCACCAAAATCTCAAAAATCCATTAAATAATAAATAATTGAGAGCGCTTAACAAGTATGAATCGTTCATTAAATAAACGTTTCCTCATCAGTAAATACTCTTAACGAACAAAAACCTGTGGGCCTACTTCATTGTTTAAATGATGACCATAATCACAGTGTTAAAATTTGCACACATCATTGGCGGATTTACACATACATCTATCACGTTTGAGAGGCAAAATGGTCGTCCGCCAGTGGAAACGTAATATACGTTACTGCTGCGGAACTGGATAGAACTGCTGTGGTGCGGGTACTTGTCCTGAACAGAGCGAATTCAGAATTATTAAAGGACCACTTTATCAAGTTCAAGAAAATATCCCAAGGCCGTCAAGGAGAAAAACTGATACCGTGGTCGAACTTCTGCTGGTAAGGAGCAGCTGAAGATGTTGGCGGCGGAGCCAGCTGAGTTATACCGATGGAACTCAACGAAGGCATCGGGAAATTGATGGGAGGTGGGGCAAATCCACCAGCTGTTGTCGATGTTCCCGGTGCAAACATTGACGGCACGACCGAGGGGATACCGGAAGGAATTGATGCTAAAACACAAGCAATATATTCCTGAATAGCAATGTCCCAAGAACTAGATCTATTCATGTTACAACGTACCTACTGTTCCAAACCGAACTAACAACTAAGTAACATACGTGTAAGATTCGGTGGCTGTGGTGGCGTGAAATAACTCTGCGTGGAAGTTGGCTGCAAATTTGGAGGAAGCGGTTGAGGCGGTTGCGGCAAATTCGTGGAAGCAGATGATGTGTAGCTAGAAAAGGTAACGAATTAGAAATAGGTGCACCGCGAAAAATCACACCAAACCAAACTCCGTGAAACTTATTAGGGACAACTTACACTTGACTTGCTGATTTGTAAACTGATCTGTCTCCGAATTACAGAAATTTTCGGTCCTCCTCAGAAAGAGCTCTGCTCGCTATTCACCTCCATTAATGTCTTATTTCATACAGTTCTAACCCTTTCCAGTCACTGCCATTGACTCCTTCGAAACTTTTCACACATATCTTCTTTCTTTCTGACTTGAACCTTCTCATTTGATCCCCGCCCCCTATTTTTACAACATTAATTCCAGCGATATACTAAAGAGGTTGAATCAGGCAAGAAGGATCGAGCTAGGCTGACCTCGTCATTGGCGTCGAATAAGGTGCTGCACTGGCAGGTATCGAAGATGGAACCCCGACCGGTGGAGGCGTTGGAGTGTATTGCGGAGCGGTGCCTGGTGGGGGTTGATAAGCCTAAAAAACAAAACTTTGAAAGGACACTTCGAGCGATGGTAGTGAATAGCTAAAAATTGAATTTGACCAAAAGAAATAGACTACTACCTATAAGAACGAGGAGAAGGAAGCCAATCATGTTTCAAACCTCTCGGTCAACTTTCGAAATTCGGAAGTGATTCTCCCTCCAAATAGTTTTTCGATAAATGATTGAAAGTGATAATCATGAGGAGTTGAAGTATTCTTAGCAAAGTAACTAAAACCTCGGAAAGAAATTAATCGATTATTTAATTGTTCAAGGGCCCAATGCGGCAACAGCGCACTTGTACACAGAAAATTCAAATGAAGCAAGGTGAACTTTCCTTGAAGTGGATATATTCGCAGGGAACAGAACACAATCAAAAATATTGTTACCGAATGCGAAAAGTAAGGGACTATGATAGGTCTTAATCAAAATGGAAAGATCGTTGTCGAAGTGAAGACGAACTGAGTAGTGCCAAGTTGAGAGCATGAGACGTATGGCCAGTAGATCAAGCTCCATGCCTAGAGCTGCCCAGATAAGCCTTCGGTACCTCCATGTCAGCCAACTGATTATAAGTCCCAAACGTATCCTTTAAAAGTGCTGATTTATGCATTGGCCTAGCACGCACTAGCTGGTATGTCCTTGTATAGGTCACGGATGAATTCCAAAAACTACTACGGTTAACATTACGCCTTCAACTACCGCACTGACTTTAGTTCTACAGCACTGACCTTAGTTATTGCCTTCAAATGGTTGTACATTCAAAGAAATGACTAACCTGGTACTGCTGCTGTTGTGGTTGCTGCTGCTGCTGCTGCTGCGCGTAATAGTCTGGTGGTGCCGGTTGAGTAACAGTGGGAGGCTGATACTGAAAATAATGAATTGCAATGTAAGAATTTAGTAAGAGACGTAATTCTTTAGTAATAAAGCCTGTTCTTTATACTAATTGCCAAGGTTTTCGTCATGAAGTATGGCGCTTTTGAGTAATAGGTTAGAAAGAATGTTTGATAATCTATGATTTTGATTTTATTTTATACTGTTTCTATTGTGCCATTATTAATTTTTTAACTGACACATCCGTATTCACATGTAGACCATTCCACCGTTTATCGTGATTTCTATTTAGTAACCTATAATCGTTGCACATTAATCCTACATGACTATGGTTCTAGCCTGCAACCAACGATTACACTATCCTCATTTTCGAAGCTCTCTGATCTTTCACATCACAGGGAAACACGAATAGCGGTAGAGATGAGCCAATTTTTATAAACATGCTATCCCTAAATATATTTTGGAAGGCTAATAAAAAAAATTTCTGGTTGAAATCAGTACAGTACATTCGAGCGCAAATGGATACTTCTCCCTACCCGGTTTCAAAATATTTATCTACCGAATTATCCGTTACTGCACACCCAAACATCCCTTCAAGGGTCGCAAGGTCAACTCAGCAGTTTTACATGTCCTTGCGGAATTACGTGTATTTATGCAAATTTAACATATCCTGAGGGTACTATTTAAAAATATTCTGCTACAGTGGCAAGCTAGTAATGGTAAGAAAGGAGTCTAGGAAATTTGCTGGTGAAACTCACCATTTGCTGAGGAGGTTGTGGAGGCTGCTGTGGCGCCGGAGAAGGACTGTGGGAATGATTGAGTCCATGATCATGGCTGTGCCCGTGTCCATGGTCGTCATGCGCGTGCCCATCTCCGTAACCATGTGATGTTTGTGCTTGTCCAGGAGTCGACGTGGACTGGGAACCATATGCGCTGGGAGCAGGTGGGGGAAATGATGGAGGAACCGCAAAATTGTTAGGCGCCGGCATAGTGGGAGGAACAGCAAACTGGCTTGGATCCGGGAAGGAAGATGGTGCCGGAGGTTTGCTGACCTAAATTACGTATGGGAGTAGAAGTATTCACAAAAGTTATCATTCTCCACTAACTACGAACCTGGTCGATTTGAGGAATACCAGTGCTTCCGGGCTGCGCCAACTTCGGTTGCGTCGCAACAACCTTAATGTAGATACCTTATTATTTGACCGAAATTTTCCAATAGAAAAGTATGCACAAGTATTTTTGGGAACGACGAGAAGCAAACATTAATGAGTTTAACGTAGGTGAAATTCCGACAATGGAAAAGAGTTATTCTACTAAACCTTCTCTGGAAAGAAAGGAGGCAAAGTATGTTTGAAAAACATTCCTTACCGGTGGAACAGGACTCTTTGGTTTCGAGCGGTCGACTGATATCGGGATTCGGTGAAGATACCCATATCCAATGTCACATCCTAAGCAACCTTCTCCACCCCAAGCTGAGTTGGGAGTTAGGCTTACCTGAGACAATTGAAGTAGTGCAAAGATGATGGGTACCCAATACAAAGGAATCACTGAACTATTGCCGTGAAAAGTTTCATTTAAACACGCATACCTCTCTAACTACGTCTGTATCCACATTGTAAACATATAATTTCAGCGGTTTTCCTTCATTCGCCTTAAAAGAATTTATCAATAATGTGCATTTACGACGAAATCCATCAACATGGGTGATAACACACCTGCACAAGGGCAATTAGATCATCAGCTTGGTTCAGTACACTTTCAGCTCCGAGAATGTAGTCGGAATTTGACATTAGACCAGCAATTGAAGCCGGAGAGTTGGGCTTAAACAGTTGGTTGATGCTTAATCATGCAAAAAAAATGTCTGTACGCTCAGTATTCATCGTTTTAAATAGAAACCTAGCAAGCACAATAGTACATCCGAATAAGGCCACAAGATTCAAGAATAGGTCAATGTACATGCCAAAAGACTATGAACAGACTCAAAAAGAACTTGGGCAAACTTCGAACCAAACTTCAACTTCAAACAGACCTAGAACAACTTTTAGATACTCAAACATTCTGTCACTCATTTTAAAAAAGGAAACCAGATGACAGCTAACCTGAACAGAGACCACATGCCAGACATGTTGACTAGCACCATCAAATGAACAGAAACGTATTGAAACACCGAGCAAACCCTGTCCACCCCACATCTCCGACGGCACGACAGTAGTTTGCCTAACGGTCTGTGTCTTGCTAAAATGGATAATAAGCACCTCAGTCTCAAGGATTTTCCAAATGGATATCTCTACAAACCTGTTATAAACCGTTACTTCAATAGGTTTTTCTATATGCTGTTTGAGAATTTCCTTCATTGTGTCATTGTCTTTGTCCTGAAACGAAACAAATATGATCAGCACCGTTAAGCCAACGTACCAAAACTCACCAATCTAATGTTCCCGATAGATACGATGAAATCGAAGAAAGGCTCTAGGCCTGCCGCCTGACCAGGCGAGTTTTCTTGTACCTAAATGGAACACCATTTTGACGATCTTTTGAGTCAGTCGCATCTGACATCTCGAAGATTTTTCGTTCACAATTGAGTTAAGTTTTACTCAAGTAAGGGGAATGCTTGCATTTTGCTTGCTTTGAGAGGTCGGCCTCGGGAAAAATTTACGACCAAGGTACCAAACAGACGTTTAGCTATCCAGTTCTGACAGCAGCTTATAAAGGTCAAAGCGATCATTTTACAAACGCTCAAACTGTAAAAGACAGCGGTTATGACACATCTTGAAGCCTGACAGCATTTTCTTGCTTTGATGTAAAGATATGACTGGAGAAAATGTATTCAAAGATGTACTCTAATAGGAGTCAATACCGAAGCAAAAAGAACTACATGTCCGCTTCCAATTATTGTGTTATTATGCATGACTCGCAATACATAGCACTGTATAGTCGGCCTGAATCAGTCAAGTAGAACCGTCTACTACTTCGGGCAGCTCGAGAAAACAAAGTTTGATGAAGCCCGGCTCTATTGTCCATGATCGGACATTAACACATTTCCGATCTGTCCAGCAACCTCTTCCCCAAACTGCGAAAGGATTCAAAACAACCGAAAGCATAGGAATTGGGAACTGATAAAGAGGAAGCTTGCAGACACTCAGCGTTGAAAAAGAAAAAGAGTAAACCACGAGTGATTCAATTAGATTACTCAAGTTTACAACTAAATTGCACTTTCGTGACAAGCTGCCGCTCACCAAAAAGGTCTTCCAACTGGTAAAACGATCCCTTTAATAGTCATTCCTTGTGGTGGGGATCCGCACAGGAGAACTCGAAAGAAATATGCCCTTTCTGACAGTGCTACATGAAAGAGTAAAGTAAATGCCTTCGTTGGAGAATCCTTTGGTGCTTCAAACTTCCTACCATTATCAAATGTATAAAGATTTCGCTATAGGGAGTTAACATCAAACGTACGATGCCGACTACTCGAGATGTTAGGACAGGACGTACTTTGTTTGATTACTTAGACTCTGTGGAACACACTTGAGGTGCTTGAAACTTTTCTTTACTGCTTCCTACGTCCTTGCTGACGAATCGGAAATCTCTGTAGATCTCTCCTGCCAAAGGAAACTGAAGTGTGCAAGAAGAGATACCCTTCAACTAAAAACTGACCAAAAATCATCATACTACCACTGATGCGCTTTTGTCAGCTCCCCATCGCCTTTCTGCTCTACCGACAACGACCCGCAGCGGAGCTGCACATACTTCACCAACACTTTCTGCTAATGATCTTTTCCAAAAACCTCTTTGCCATCCCACTCTGTCCTTGACACAGCTCTACGTATTGTTGGCAAAAAAACCTTATTTTGGGAGGGAGGTAGTATGTCTGTGCCACAAATAAGATCATCGAACCCAGTGCGACGATATCAGGGATGGTGGTACTGGAGTGATAAGCTCTTTTACAGAAGCCATAATAACCTATGTCCGTATTTGTAAATTAATATCAGAAAACGGACCACTTACCCTCAAAACATGGTAGCCTTCAGTACCGCCACCTGGAATCGGTACACTTTCGCTGCTACCCATAGTAGTTCAAATACCTGTAAAGTAAGAAATCACTACGAAAAACAACGATGACATCCACGTGCACAGTTCATGACGTAAACAAAAACAAGCGAAGATACAACCTATTAGATCAAAAACCTTGCAAAAATGTTAACATTCAGATGAGAGCGACGTGGAAGGAGGCGGTCGACCGCAACCCAAGCTCCGCCTTTATACGCAGTCAAATCAACAACGCAGTTGCAGCAAATACTCAGTTAATGCAACTTTCGAACGTTTCCCATTTCGTGAGGGCCTATGATCCTTGCCTTTCTTTGTGTTATTTTTTTCTTGTCACTCGAGAACGTTTGCGTACGAAGGTCCTTCGTCTTGAATATCCAAAGCTGCTACTATAAGCACAGGATGATTGCTGTACAAAACGGTGTAAGCTTCCTCCCTCTCAGCTTTATTAAGCAAGTGTACATTTCCATCTTGAAAACCTTGAACTATGCCTAATTATCAGTTCACTGTCTATTATGGATTGCATGGTGTTTCTTTTTGTACTTATTTGTGCTCGTTGGCTTATCAAAATCATTTTCACGCATTAGGTTTGTGTTTAAGTTTAGGAGTCGAAAAGGTAATATACGGGACATTTTGTTTCAAATCCGCTGCTTATCTGTGACAAGTGCTATACATTCATTCGTTTTGTGGCAATGTAACCTCTAGCTACAGTGTTATTTCGGAGCAGCGGAGGGTGGGTTAATGGTGAAATTTCTTTGTCGAAGTTCGGTTTCCCGCAGTGCGATCATTATTGGGAAAAAATTCCAGTGGCTTCCTTTTCATTTTTTTCCAATCATATCATAGGAGGTCAGGATACTCTTCATTTATTTCGTCATTTTTGTAGGTTTATTTTGTAGTTTCTGGGATTCGCGAAACATACGTGCTGGACAACTATTTTAGGTTAACTTTTAACTACCCCGCCTAGTCTTACATAGAGGAGCGGTTTGATTGGTAGCCAACAGAAAGCTGTATGATCTAGAAAATGGGGCCTTTCAATTTGTGCCATTGTTGTTTTCAACCATTATCTGTCGTTGAAGCCCAACTTTTTGGCCAGAGAAAAGCGAAGGTGCGCTTCTATTCATTCTTCTGCCTAGTATAATGTTATGGGAACGAAATCGGCGAATGCTCCCCTTATGGGTGTTAATAGTGTTAATCACAGCGAAATTTGCTCGGGAGTATATTCGATCAAGATGCAAAAATTTGCGAGTGGATCGAATCCTTCCTATAGAACAACCTGTCATTATCCTTTAGAAGCTCATTTTAAGTATTAGGTGCGGCTTCAAATCTTACCACACCGTTATGTCTGCATTATGAAAGGACCAAAGCTTTTCTTTTTTTCGAGTTGCTTTCCTTTTTGTTTTCTTTTTGTAGCTTTTTTTTACTTGTTTTTGAGGCGGTTATCATCGTTAGGATCAGCATTTCGTTTCCACTTAGGATAAATGAACGTTCCCCAGGCCTCTGATTCGTGGGGTTATAATTTTGTGTTATCCTCAATACGAGTGTGGTATCAAACAGTGGAATAATTGTAGTGACCGTCTGGAATAGGCCAGGTTTGCTTGATTCCGTGATCGGACCCTTGCGTTCAGGGTGTGACAGAAGTTCCTTCGAAGCAACAGCTTCGAGCAATGTTCTAATTCTTGGTGAACGATCTTTTTTTATAACGCGAAGAAGAAGTATAGGGAAGTTCGTTGCTAAGCCTGCATAGTCAACCTTAGTTATGCTATTTATCCGCTCGAAGTAGTATATTTCCAGCCTTTCATTGTTTGCCTGCTGTTCATGTACGGTCTTATTTTGTGCTGTTCGTGGGATGTACGGCCCTCAAATTCTTAAGTATTTCAGGGTTATAATGGCCAAGCGCACAAAGAAGGTCGGCATCGTCGGAAAGTACGGTACCCGATATGGAGCGTCACTGCGTAAAATGGTCAAGAAGATGGAGGTGACTCAGC